TTTTCCTATGAAAGGAAGAGGAGGATAGATTACTCAAGATGGAAAAACTGAGTTGTGTTGATGAAGACTGCGGAAATTTTCCTGTAGCTTTTGATCTGATTGTGTATGCTTCTCTGCTTTGGAATGAGAAGTAGAGGAATGTGCTCAGCTGGATGGTAATTAGATGGTAGTCATAGATGGAGTGCTAAGTGGATTTTTAAAATTTATTTACTCTTAGGAAACTATGGATTTACTTGTGTTCACATGCAAACAACTGGAGAGTCTGGTTAGCTGCTAATACCTTCAGGTGATCCAACAGCTTTGGAGAAGCTTGTGTTTTGGCATGTTCTTGGTACAGGTTTGTAGGTCAGGGGAGCTCAAGCATGTGAAGTATTTGACAAGCTGGGTACTGAAGATGGGCAGCGGCAGAAATGCTAGAGCTGAGGATGCTTCTGGCAGCCCTGCAGAGCTGACTGCTTTAAAGACTTGTTCTCCTGGGTCACAGCAGGGCTTGTGCAGAAAGACAATGATTATTCAGAGAACAAATGATGTTGTTTTGCTGTAGTTGAAGTGACTTCTGGGACATCTTATTTTCTCTTTTGAGAGTAGTTACATTCACACAAAGGAGATGTAAGTAAATAGCAGCATTGGTACTTTTCTAGACTTTTTTTTTTTTTTTTTTCATATGTATCATTTTACCTGTATGTTGCCAGATCTTGCATACTCTAGTCTGTAGCCACATAAACTGAAAAAAATATCTGGAATTTTTGGGAGTGAATCAGGAAATCAGCTGACGATATAAACAGTGCTTTGCTGCAAAAGAACGTTTTGAGATGGAAGCTTTTCAATGTGTTCTGAAAGAGATGCATGTCCTTTAACACTTAAAAGTAATTAAATTCAGCGTGCACTAATCATTAAAGGGTAGCAGTCATTGCCATGAACAGTATGCACCGCATATCCCTAAGGCTGTTTTACTTTACATCACTGAATATCTGGCCATTCAGTATATTGACTGTAGCGCCCATATTGTGTAGAAGACCTTGCTTGGATTTTGCAGCAAAGTGATGAAAGGGAAAAAACAAAAAAAAAACAAAAAAAGTCAGTACAATTGTTTATTGTGGTTTGCCAAAATCTTACTATAAATCAGTGGGGAAGATTATCTTAATCTGATTCCTACATTTAAACTTGAAGATGGTGCTGTATATTATAACAGTGAAATTATCGAGGCTGAATACTACTGCATCAGTATCTCTTACTTTTTCACTAGATAGGTTTGCCATCAACCTAAGGATGTTTTCTGCTCCTGAGAACTGTTTCTTGTTATTAAGCTGAAGGAAGATGAGATAGAAGATATTTAATTTTAGAGATAATGGTTGACAGCATGTGATCAGCGTTAGCTGTAGAGAATCTCTGGAGTTAAGCAGTTCTGAACTGCTAACTTGCTGCAGCTACAAAATGACAGCATTTATTACCACAGTTATTTTGGAAAGGGAGAAATACCACAATAGGTAAAACTTGCTTCTTGTTAATAGCTGTGATTCACTGCAGAAATAGTTTTGAAGTGTCTTGATTCTCCCTAGTGAATTTCTAGTTGTCGTTTCCTGTCTTGTAAAACAGGAGTTTATTAACGGTGCTTCCTTTATTTCCCCCTCTGGCAAATGAGCAGTTGTCATAAAGCTCTACTGAATCAGGATGCTGACCTCTTTTTGCATCAATTCCAATAATTACACCCTTTGAGAGGTGACTTCCTCCTTAAAGCAGTGCCAAGAAAAGACAGCCCTCACTGCTTCGTGGGTTTTTATCTCTACAGAAGGGTTGTGATACAAAAGCTGTGATCATAATGTTTATGTTTAACTATCTTTTACAGAAAATAAATACAGATGTAAAATGCTCTGAACTCAGAAATATGGTTTTTTGTGTGCTTTTCCATGCTTCTATAATTATTCTGTGGATTTCATTTTCAAATTCAGTGTATAGAGCGCACTGCACAAGAAGTGAAATATCTTGTGGGGAAAAAATAAGTTGGCTTCTGATGGTATCACAACTCACCTCCCTTCTTCCTATCTCAAGATGGGGAAAGACAGCATACTGGGAGTGCTTGCAAAGCTTGTTAACTGGACTGCGATAGGTTCCTCTCAGAAAGAATTCAGCTTTGCATGCATCTTTAAGGAGCATCTCTTATAGCCCTGAAGTTGAGTACCTCATTTCCATGGAAGCTATAACAAATATTTTGTTCATGGGAGAAAAAAGTGGTGAGGGGGTGGGAAGGGGAAAGACAGCTTATAGCAGACAGTCATTTGACAGCATGTATGTAATAAGAGATCTGTTATTGATTCCCGCTGCAAAGCGTTTGGTTCTATTGTATTAAATGGTGTAATTAAACTTAAACTTATCTGACTAAAAAAAATTTAACTTTTACTTTTTTACTTTTAGAAAGACCTTCTTAGTCTGTGTTTTGTTGGATATTTCCTGATATTTCTCAGCTTTCGAAGTCTCTCTTGATCTTTTTTCCCCAAAGGTTTTTCTGGTGGGGTGTATATTTAAAGAAGGCCAGCTAACATGTCATTTGTCTTGTCTGTATTGTGCTGTTTCCAGTCTTCGTGATGCCCATAATCCTTGGTGGTACTAGAGAATGTGTTAGGAGATTATTGGGCTTTTGTTGGGGTTCAGGCTCATTTCCAGTGCAAGTCATGACAGCTGTTCTATGGTTTCACACTTTCTTCAAAATTTGAATAGGTGTAGCAGATTTGTTCAGCCAGGAAAAAGCTAAGGTATAGTCAATTCAGGGTATAAAAAGCTCTGACAAATTTTTTGCTGCCCTTTTGCATCATAAAGAATTAGACACAATGCTGCTATCTAATTTTCCTTATTCTCATACCTTGAAATGAAAAGCAAGAGCTCTCAGTAAAACCCTGTCATATATATGGATGCAGTTAGGAATCTCATGCTACTTTAGAATGATTATTTAATTAGACTCAGAGTCATATAATTAGAGTTAATAATGTTTTAACAGCCTACAGAATTATTCCATCAAAATTACCTGTTGAGGTCTGTATTCTGTGGGAAACCTATTTGTGTATATGTAGTACATGGGATTTTTTTGTTTGGTTGTTTCTTGTTGTTGTTGTTTTAAAGAAATGTGCTTGTGTGTGTCTTAAATGGCTGTCAATTAAATATGAGGTTGAGCTAAATTACATGTTTACTTAGTGTTCATTCTCCTTCCTGAATGGTGCTCAGTGTTGTGCTTTGTGGAATTGTTTTTATGTACTTTACCAAGAGTGAACAATGAAGTTTCATTTTAAAACATCTCTTATAGGCAAGGGAGCATGTAGAATGTAGCAGCATGTTTTCATAACAGTAAGGGACTTTCTCTTATGAAGTAACTGAAATTCACTTTCCTTATCAAACTGTAATTAAAGGTTTCTGAAGAAGGATGCAACACACCAGTGATCCACCATGACCTAGTAGATTTTGTGCTGTAGTCCTCCTTTTTAGTTATTTATCAGTTAGGCTCATGGTATTTTTCTCCCTTTTTTTTTTCCCGAAAGTGGAGGGAGGAAGTTTATACAGCTGAATAACCTTTGCTTTAAACTCTTCCTTCAGCAAAATTTCTGTATAGCTGCTAACCTTTGTGGTTGAGATGGATAGATTGGCTTTTCCAGTGAGCATACTAGGAAGCCGGAACGTTTTTTGTATAGATGTCCTTTTCTTGTCCTTAAGTATGTTTCTCTTCCATAAAGTTTTTCTATGTGGTCTAGGAATAGACACATTGCCCTGCTACTTTGTGTCTCTCACCATTTACATTTAGCTTCGATTGTTACATACTGCAGTTTCCTAGGAGCTGGGGAAATTCAGGATGGACATTAGGTTCTTCTCCAAGAGAGTGGTCAGGTGCTGGAATGGGCTGCCTAGGGCAGTGGTTGAGTCACTGTACGTGGAGGTGTTTGTGGAACATTTAGATGAGATACCAAGGGTCATTGTTTAGTGGAAAATATTGTGATAGGTGGACAATTGGACTGAATGATCTTGGAGGTCTTTTCCAACCTTGGTAATTTTGTGATTCCTTAGGAAACTTTGCTCTAGTACAGATTCCTTAGTTCCCTATAAAATCTTGCAGCTTGTCTGTTGTTGGTTGTATGTGTTTGCATAACTGCTGCTTTTTTCATTTCAAAGGGATAAAAGAGAAACTTGGCTTGTTTGTGAAAGTGCATCCTCAAATTGAGAACAGTTATGATTTCTCAAATGCAGAATTGCACAGAATTTCAGAATTGTAGGGTTGGGAGGGACCTCAGGATATCATCTAGTCCACCCCCTGCTAAAACAGGTCCTGTAGAGTACACTGCACAGAAGAGCATATCTTCAGAAAAGGAGACTCTGCAGCCTCTCTGGATGTCTTTTCTCTGGATTCCTCACGGTGAAGTTTTTCTTGCATACACATAGGGTTTGTTACGGGAGGAGCATAAAAGTATTCTTCCAGTGATTAACCTTCTTCTTGCTTAGATGGTTCCATCTTTTATATTGTGTTGAGCTGTACTAGTATGTATCATGTATGGTTTACAGTTAGTTTTGAATTAGTGGTTAAATGTGTACATGCAGTCCTTCTAGCTATTACAGAAGTATAGTTGTAGGATAGTGAAACATTAATTGAATGACTCAACATCCATCTTTCTGCATTTACCATTTTATAAATGGTTGCCTTGATGTTAATATTAAAATACTGTGAGTAGAGAGGTGATACGTGCACAAACATGTCAGATCTGCTTGTAGCAAGAGGTAGCTACTGTTATGTGACGCACATTTGAGTTTTTGCTAAAGGCTCCTCCTGTTTTCCTGTGGTCAGATTTAGGCTTGCTTTTAAGTTTGGAAATACAAAACATGTCTCTTAGCGGGTTGTTAATCTTCGTTAGAGCTTGAGGGCTAAATCCTTGAAGGGCAATGTATGTGTGTAAATTCAATTCGGATTTGTCTGCCCGTGAGCTAAATGATATCAAGTTGGAAACTTCTTTTTTTTTTCCCCTTAGATATTGAAGAAGGATAAAAAAAAAAAGACAACTTCTCAAACGTTTCGAAGACTGAATGTAACCAGGATGAAGAGCTTAAAAGCAAAGTTCAGGAAGAGTGACGTAAGTATTTCTGCTGAGTTTGATTGCAGGTTTCCATGCTGGAAACAAGTTCTTCACTCCCACCTTGATAAGGTTGCAGGTTAATGAATTACAGAGAGGACCAACTTTTTCCAAGCACAAAGGCATTAGCTGAGTATAGTACGTATTAGGCTGTTTTGAAATGCAGTTCTATGTTATGTAAAGTATTTCTCTACCTTGCTTCCTTCTTAGAATAACCAAATCAAGCATATACGCATGGGGCCTGCAAAATTTCTCTTAGATTGTGCTCACATGCAGATTGAAACTTTGTCCCAGGTGCAGGGTTAAGCCTAGTGAGGACTTTACTGCCCAATTGTATTTCTGTCTAAGTATAAAACCATTCTTATCAGTGTGATGTTTGAGCATATAACAAAAGGTCTCCTTATCCTGTGGCAGGTTTTTTTCGTTAGCAAGAGTACAAGAACCAGCTGTGCAATTAGGGCAAGATGTGATTTATCAATCCCCACATGACAGGAGGATTGGATGCAAGGCTTGATCAGTGAGGACAGCAGACATAAATATGAAACAGTAGTGAGCACATCATATGTTGTGTATTTTTAATGATAGTATCAGTAGCGACCCAAACTCAAAGTTGAACTGTGTGATCCTTCGGATCAGTGTGACTGCTATTGTCCAGTTCTGTCCTTGTCTTCCTACTGCTAATCTTTCCAACTCCTGCTGTATACTCATGTTGATGCTCATGTGCTATTGCAGTGTGCAGTCAATGAAATAAATGATTTTCAAGATCTTACATAGAATTTGTAACAAATATTCATGAAGAATGTGATGTTTTTTCTTTCAGAGCAGCAGATAAGTTGTAGAAGGAAAGGGTGTTTTTTTGTTTTTTTTTGTTTTTTTTTTGCCATATTCCCACAGAGCTCTAGAGCAGCTGTCTTTGGTGAAGATTCATAAGGTTTAAAAGTGGAGCTTCTTTAGAGAGGCTGGTATTTAGGAAAATCACCACACACTGCAGTCAGGAGCAGTCCAAGCTGTTCTTTGGTGCAAAGATGGTCTCGTAGTGCTCCGTTAAAGTGATCTCTCTGTTCTAGTGATCTCAGCTTGTAATGCCCTTCAGTAGCTATGAAGAAGAAACAGGTGCTGTTGCAGTGTGATATGTAGATATGATTACCGCTTACCAAGTCACTGAACTGCAAGTTAGTATTTGTTGCTGGCAGCTGTTGTATTGGCATACTAATGGTAGCACTGTTAGTTAATCTACTCCTTCAAATAAGCAAGAGCTCTTCCTAAAAGGACCAACTTTGTAGCCAAACTCAATATGTCAACTAACTTTTGGGAGTAGGATGAAACACTTAACTTTTAGGCATGTTTTACTTCTGTTGGTGACCAAGCCAACTCAGATGGTGGTGCAGCATCTTGTGCTGCTTTGCAGCAAATGAACATGACATGAGTCTTTGGTGTCTCGTCTAACTGAATATGCCTCTCAGTCTACAGCTGCTTATTTGGTTGCCAGAAGTTGTTGCCATTGCGATGAATAGCAGCAGCCACTGTTTCAGTTCACTTTACAGTAGTTAAAACTTCCTTTAAGTGTCTGCTTGAGTAATGAGAGCAGTCCTTTTGCTAATGTAGGGACATACTTGGTATTATGGAAATTAGGTGTGCCTGTGTGTTAGCATGACTTCATTCACACTTTTATGCTAGTTGGCTGCACTGCTGCTCTAGAGCAAAGGCTAAGTGACATGCATATGATGCAACTAGGTCTTGCTGTAGCTGGTCCACCCACTGTTATTCAGCTGTTTCTCTTATTCCTTACTCACCTGGCCTTGTCTCCTTAATCCCCACCTTTCCCCCCAAAACCAGGGGAGGTCTCAAAGTAATTGCTGTTTGGGTACTACTTCTGTCTATCGTCTTTGAGACAAAGTTGCAAAGTTGATCACAAAGAATTTTTCAGATACCTAATGGTTAGATAGGTAGCTCTAAGAGCACAGCAGTATAAACTCAAGAGGGTCTAATTTTCTCTGTGTTGAAGCCAAACCTTAAGGGCATAATTCAAAACAGTCAAGTGGGGCTGTTGTGTGTTCTGTGATGATAACCAAGGAAAATTATCCTTCTTTTTAGTTTCCATATGCTTCTCATAGTTAGAATACAGGAGGAAGAGGAGGTAGTTTTAATGGGAGTTATTCTTATTTGTATCTCAGTTTATAAAATATGGTAACTGCTTTCAGGTTAAGAAGAAAGTCAGCAGGGATGGAGGGCCTCTTTCTCATTCTGGAAGAAGTCTTTAATGTCCTAGTTAGAACTGGAAATATCTTGGCAGAGGGAATGGTACCTTTTCTTTTAGCCTCGCTTGTTTGCATTAAATAAATAGGAAGAAGGGGAGGAGTAGAAATAAGTCTTCAAGGTATGTGTGGGAGACAGGGGTTAGTCAAACAATTCTCCAGCTGATAACATAAAACTGTATTCTAAAATGAAGATTGAGTAGGCAAATTCACTGATGCATTAAAATTCTCTAGGCTGTTTTGAAGTGAGTGAATTGAAAATGGGCACGCCTGCTGGTATTTATGCATGTATTAGCTGTCTCCCTGCTGCAGAGCTTTGTTGTGGTGCTATGTCTACACCATTCTTGAAGCTTTAGAAGAGCCAGCCCGGCTCCCTCTTCTAGTGTCTCTGCCCTTCTGGTTTTAAGGATACCTAACTCTCAATGAGAGACTCAGTAAGTCAGTTCAGGATCATAAAGTGATGGAAAATTACTTTGTGGAGTTGGTTTTAGCTGATCTAGCTGTTTAACTCCCTGTTGTGTCTCACTGAAGGCCAGCCCAGAGAGGAATGGTGAAATTGGGGAGGAGCAGCAGTACTTCTCTTTCTGCAGCTGTTTTCATGGCTTAGCTGTGTTGTCAGATCACACCTTCAGATTTCTGGCATAAAAAGCTCTGGGCTGGGCATGCAAGTAGTGGAGTTCCAGGAACGTGCATATATATATTGCTGGAAATTCTGAAATTTATCAAAATTGGTATAGTTCACATCTGAGGGAGGGGAGCAAAGCTTATCTTCTGGCTTTGCGATTCATGTTTTTGCTACTCAGCTTCCCTGTACCTTAAGCAATTCACTATCTTTGTGTGTGTAGGCAGCTCTGTTAACCAGGGAGTCTTTTTCCCCCTTCACACATTTAGCTGCAGTGAAATCATTCCTGGGGGTTACTGTTGCCATATGAATATGTGTATGTGAAGTGGAGCAGTGAGATTTAGTGCTCTGTCATAAATGTTTTTCAAAGTATGATGTACAGGAGAATGGATGTAGTCTAAAAATCTGAACAGGATGCCTAAGTGGAGTAAATACTGAGACTAGAAAGTAAGTAGTGAATACTTGAAATATCTGTAGACAGAATGATAGAAATTGCACTTGCATCTTGATGAAGAATTAGGCTATTTTTCTGTCCAAGGGCCTATATTTTTTCCACTCTTTCTTCACTTGTTTACTCCTGATTGTCAAACTAAAATCTACTGTTGGTAGCATCTAAAAGCAGACTAAATTGATGCAAGACACCTATTATATGTAACACTTAGAAAAAATGGTGTGATATGAGCAGGAGCTATCACTTGGGAACTTACATTTATTTACAGACTGTCAGTAGAATTTTGCCTGTAGGAGTAGGCTGTCTGTAGGAATATTACACAGTGGAGAATACTTGTCTCTAAAGATTAAGACTGAAGTTCTTCGCTTTCTGCTCAGAGAAGTAGAATGTGAAATAATCCAATTAAATCCAGTGCTATCCATCTGATTGGTCCTCATAATTGTATTTAACATTTGCGATTTTAATATCTTCAGTAATAATTAGTTTGTGGCCTGACTTCAAAAATAACTGCAAAAGGCAGATGAGGGTCAACTAGATTTTCAAATGCACAAACATATCAAACCTGTCTAAACATGTTTTGTCTGTTTCTTAAATATGACAAGATGCTCACCTACATTTTTAGACACTTAAGTACATGTAAGTATCTAGTTCTTTGACACTAAGATATTGTAGGAACCTAAGTGATTTAGGTGATTTATTTTTAACTGTGTTAATAATTCCTCTAGAAAACAATATGTGTGAAATTTGATTAGGGCTGGATTGATTTCACTCCTAACTTACATATGTGGGAAAATAACTGAAAAGTTTTAGGACCATATTCTGGGAATACTGAAGGCCATCAGGAAACAATTTCTTTCAATTTGACAACTGATTAATTTTCTACTTATTGCTAGCTAGTGATTGAGCAAGAGGAAAATTAGAATTGGTATGTATTTCTGAATGCTTTTAATAGTGAAGAATTAAATTATTAGAATTTCTTGAAATTTTAAAAATTGATCATGCGGTTGAGCAGAAAAATTAGCTATTGTCAGAAGCAGAGGCAAGAGAGGCTGGGATTTCCCAGTGCTTTCTGATTATTCTCCTCAGCTATTTAGAAAATAAACTTCTGAAACTTGCTTTTGCAAGTTTAGAGCCTTGCATCTGAGCAGAAATAACCCCTGGTTCCTGTATAGTATGTAGGTTGAGCCTTAATTTTGGGATTGTGTAGGAAATTCTCAACCACTTCCTCTTGGAAAGATAAGTTTTATCCTTCTCTCTCTCTTGTAGTGACTCCTGCTTCTGTGTTCCTCTGTTTGGAGTTAACAGCTCAGCCCTCCACCACATTTTCAGCTTGGGAACTGTTTGGCTTCCTGTCTTCTGTTCTGGACAGCACACAGTTCTGCTTTAGTGAACCTGCTCTCCCAAAGAAAGCTCAAATGTTTGTGCAGAAAAGAATTCAAATGTACTTGAGTCCTTCTGCATACAGAGTGAAACATGCTGCCTGTTGCAGTAGGCTCGATATGAACATCTTACCATCATGTAATAGCTTTTGATTGGGACATAGAACAAAAGGGAGTAGGTCAAGTGAGAGCTGTATTGAGTGTTAGAAATTATGGTAGAGTGTGATTTGGAGTTGGCTAGCTTTGAATAAACAGTTATTTCGTAGAACAGGATTACAGTCTGGAGTGTAATA